AACCTAAAGAAGAGTACACTATGTAAACTAATGGTACCAAAAGAGAATTTTTGCAGAAATTTGTATGCTAAAGTAAATTTTGAATTTAGTTGCTAACAATTTTGTTTGAAATTATAATAAAGTGAATGCAATTTGCAGAATAATGATTAAGCTTTCTTACCCATACTATTCCTGGATCAGACTTTTTAATATCCACTTGGTAACCATAAACCATGACAAACACCTCCACAGTAATGGACACTGGCAAGCCCATCCATGGCTCATTCCTTGCTTCCACTTGAAAATCCTGCAGACCACTGGTGTCATTGTAGAGGGATGCCAGCACATAATGACAGGTGCCTTGGAAGTCAAATGTGAGCAAATCGAATGTGCTATAGTGGGGATCCCCAACAGCATAGCAGATGCCTTGTGGCAGTGGATAGCAACCATATTCCCCATTAACAATCTGGCAGTACTCCCAAGAGCTGCATGATGAGGGCTCGCAAGAAATGTCCCCAGTGTCACCATTACAGGTACAGTAGTTGAGACACCCCTCTCCTTCCCAGAAGTTCTGTCCATTCTGGTAGTATTGACCATTATAATAGCAGCCACAGTCACTAGGTTTAAGACACTGGCTGCCACTCAGGACGAATCCATCGTTACACTGACACCCTTCTTGGCATGGCTGTGTGCATGAGAAAGGGAAGGAGAGACTGGGGCAAGCAACTGGGCAGGAGGTTCCACAGAGGTCATAGTGGCTGTTTGGTGGACAGCTTAGACCTGAGTGGGCAGATCAAGCATGATAAAATAATATAAAAATCATTTGCATTCAGGAGTAACCTTGGATATGCAGTGACATACTTTATATTACAAACCTGGGTTCTGTTGCTACTGTGTTTCCAAAACATACAGTGATGTTGCATTCAAGAGAATGCAGAAAAATATCTGGAACCTTACCGCAGTCAGTGTAGTTCCTCCAGTCTCCAATGGGAAACCCATTCTGTTGACACAGCAAGGCGTAGTTGTGTAGGGTTTCACAAAGAATGGCATGGTCACCCCCTGATGTAGACATGGCAACTCCGCATTCATTGATCATTTCTCTTGGGTCCAGAAAGCAGGCACCAAAAGGCCCATCATACAAAGACATGATGCCACAGTAGCGCTCTGACAGATACTGGCTAACATTCCCTGCTGTAAGAATTATGTTCTCCCTACATTGTGCAACCAAGACCCCAATACGCCAGCTGTCCCCGAATTCTTGAGTGCTATTGGCAAGGTAGCCACCCATAGTCATAAACTCATCCTCTATGTCCTGGTTGCTATTCCCGCACAGTCCTTGAATCATTCCAGAAAAATTGCTTGGGATGATCACTCGTATCAGCCATGGCCGGTGTGTTTGTATAAGCACTCCAAAACTGGTCTCCAATACGATGCTCGTGATGCTGCTGTGGTACACACTGATACTTTCAGACTGTCCATAGAAAGGAAGCCCAACAGTCTGTCCATTCACCTGAGTACATGCAGGGAATAAATGTATAACATCAGACCTAATATGAACCTTGACCGTAATCCTTTTGATTACCCCAAATAATTTCATGAACAGTGTTCAATGTACAGTACTTTCTTCGCATTTATCATTTGAAAAGTGCT